ACCCCATCTCTAAAAAAAAAAAAAAAAATGCAGTCATGATGTGTTCAGTTATCCATTGCAACAGCATGGTTTGTGGTAAGAAGATTGGGAACAATAAAGCAACCAATAGGAGACTGATGGAACATACTTACCATACCATGCAGTGAATAAGGAAGGATGAAGGAACTCTCTATAAACTGATAAGGTGAGAACTCTAGGGTGTATCACTAGATTCAGAGTTTATAGTATGATTACTTTTTTTTGTAATAAAAAGGGGGGCAGCATAAGATTTTTTTGTTGTTGTTATTTCCTTATATTTGCCTTTTGAAACACTAGAAGCATAAGTAAGAAACTAATATAAAAGGTTATCTGATAGCAGAACAGGGTCAATGGGGGACAGAGTAGGAGGTAGTCTTAATACTGGTTTACTTTTAAAATCATGTAAATATATCTCTTTTAAAAAAGGAAAGATTCATAAGATTTATGTTCTCTTTATCTAAATATGTTATGTGATAGGCTGGGCGCGGTGGCTCACGCTTGTAATCCTAGCTCTCTGGGAGGCCGAGGCGGGTGGATTGCTCAAGGTCATGAGTTCGAAACCAGCCTGAGCAAGAGTGAGACCCCATCTCTAATATAAATAGAAAGAAATTAATTGGCCAACTAATATATATAGAAAAAATTAGCCAGGCATGGTGGCGCATGCCTGTAGTCCCGGCTACTTGGGAGGCTGAGGCAGGAGGATTGCTTGAGCCCAGGACTTTGAGGTTCTGTGAGCTAGGCTGACGCTACGGCACTCACCCTAGCCTGGGCAACAAAGCGAGACTCTGTCTCAAAAATAAATAAATAAATAATAAATATGTTATGTGATATATATGTAAAATTCTATCATTCTTTCTTTTTATCATTTATGTAACTAGGATTTTGAAAATCCAGTCTGACACTTTAGTCTTTTACTTAGAGCGAGGGCTTTGAGAAGATAGATGTCCAGAGTGGAGAGAGAGCAGGAGCCGGGCTGGTGAAGCAGGCAGGGTCTAGATCGCACAGCTTCCACTCCAGGTCTTAGTGTTTGGATTTTATCCCAAGACCAAAGCCAATGTTACTATGGAGTTTAAGAAAGTGAAGGACTGAATTCAATTTGTGCATATGGACTTTTTGCTGCTCAATTTTGTGCTTATTTCACTATAAAGGGAACAAGTTATTTGCAACTCCCGATACCATATTTAACGTTCAACTTCGTTAATAGATTAATCATCTAATATAAAAGCCGTTCTTCAGTTAGAACAGCTCTTCCTAAACGCTGTAACAATTTGCCTTTGAAATATTTGGTAATCAGTGCTAGTCAATGTGTTACCAACCTCATGATTATTAATGGAAGTTGGTAAATGCCTTGTGGAAAATGTGTTGAGATTTTATTTATTTTAGTTCTACCATAAATAAGGTTAGAGTATTTTTAAAAAAGAGAGAATTCTAGGGAAAAAAGTTAACCAAAATCAAAATCAAATTATTCTTCTCTCTCCCCACCCCCATCCCTTTTTCTAGTTTAAGTTTAGTCTCTCTTTTTTGTAGGGCTATGGTTCTCAAAGTGTGCTCTCTAGACCCTGGGACCCTTTCAAGATGTTTACAAGGTAAAAGATATTTTCAGAATAATATTAAGATGTCATTTACTGTTTTAAATGTATTGACATCAGTACTGAGCAATGGAGGATAAAAATGCTGGTGCTTTAGCATGAATTAAGGCAGTGGAACCAAACGGTAATAGTAGTCATTGAAATTTTCACCGCCACACATTTCAGTTTAAAAAAAAAATGTTAATTTCACTTAAGAATGTCCTTGACAAAGTAGTAAAAATTATTAATTTTGCTAAATTTCAATCCTTGAATTATTTTAAGATTATGTGTGATGACATGAGAAGTCTATAAAAAGCACTTTTGCTGCATATTAAAATATGGTTGCCTTGGGGAAAAGCACTCATGATTGCACTGAGAGATGAATTAGCCAATTTTTTTTCAAGGAATATCATTTTTACTTGAAAGAATGACAGACAAACTGTGGTTATTTAAAATTGGATATTTGGCAGATATTTTCTAAAAAGTGAACTGCGTGACCTATTACTTCAAGGAAAATAATTGACAGTACTTATTTATTGTCAATAATAAAATTTGAGATTTCAAGGGAAAATTAGAATTGTAGAAAACTTGTTTCTGCTACTGTGCAATTGACAGCTTCCAAAAACTTAAAAGACTTTTCTGATGAGAGTGCTGGTGATATTAATGAATGTGATTTTTTGGATAATATCAAAGAATATCCATGATCATCTAAAAAGGATATTAAAATATTCCTGTCATTTCCAACTATGTATCACTGTGAGGCTAGATTTTCTTCATGTACATCAACTAAAACAAGATATCACAATAGGTTGAATGTAAAAATACCTATGAGAATCCAGATGTTTCTATATGCCAGATAGTAAAGCAATTTCTAAATATGCAAAAGAGAGCAGTTTTCCTTACTATTTTTTTTACTTATGTTTCCTTACTATTTTTTGGATTCTTTTACAATTTTTTTCTTACTATTTTTTTTACAAAAATGTTATTTATGTTAACATGTAATGGGTTTATTACTGCTATTTTAAAATAATAACTATTTTAAAAGTAGTCTACCTATTAATTAATAGGTAGACCTTTAAAATTCCTGAGTTTTAATTTCTACGATGGCAAATATAGATGGATAGAACCTACATATACAAAAGCTTTTGACATCTTCAATAATCTTTAAGAGCATAAAGGGATCCCAGGATCAAACAGTTTGAGAACCAGTGGCCTAGACAAAGCTTAGGTCCGTTTATGTGTACAGCCAGTATTATTCTTGTGCTCAAGGATTTCAGGTGATAAAGTGTTTAATTTCAAAATTCTCAGTTGAAATGAAGCCAATAGGAATATGGGACAGAGAATAATTGAAACATTTAAAATGTTATATATCACTCTCAATAGTTTATTCTCTGGAAAATGGGGTCATTATCACCTAACTCATGGGATGGTTGCTGGGATTACATGATATATGTAAAATGCATGGCATGATACCACTTGTCTATCGATTGTTTTAATTATTATTTTTCAAGTGGATTTGTAAGTATGCCTCCATATGTAGACCTGAGTGTTATATTCCTCTCTGATGGCTTTACTAGCATATTCCCATGTGGTGTTTATATATGCTCTAATTTCCCCATCATCATCAAATGAAAATTTCATATAAGAAGTAGTGCAGATATTTTTCTTCATGCCCCATGAGGAGAGTGGGTACAAGTGGTAACCCCTGAGTAGCAACTGTTGCTTTTCTAGAAAGAAAAAGTGATGAAGTCTGCTATAAAATACTTCTTATGGAGAGCTACAAAACACAGCCTGGCACTACATTATCCTAAAGCTGTCCTGGTACCTTGATTAACTTGAGTGACAAGTTCCTCTAAGAGGAGAGATCACAGAATTCCTTTAGAGCAGTGAAAACCTCTACTCACAACCTTTTCTTTTCTCCTTCACTTGACAAACTATTTCTAAAAACCATTGCCATTACTATTTTCTGTTTCTTCAGATTCACCTAATAACCCCTTTCAAAAATATTTGGCTGTGATGTCTGTGATTTGGGAAAAATCCGTGGCTCATTATTGTGACTAGAAACCAGATAATGCAATGTGTGTTTGGCTTAACTACCAGGGAAAAGAGCATGGGGAAATAAGCCACATGCATTCTCCTTTGATCAAATGCCATGGCTATAAATAATGGAAATCCTGGTTTAGCTGGAGCAGTTGACTAAATAGCACAGAGTTACTATGTTACTCTAAAGTAAACAAACATGCCTCTTTGTTGTCTTTGTACAAATGTGTTTTTAAAAGTTTTATGTTTTAATGATATGGATTTCATTACAATTGATGGCATGACATCTAAATAACAGCTTATGAACATGAAAAGATGATTAATTATCTAGGAAAAGCTTCGGAAATGACTGGAGAATGTTTCATGAACATGTGGGTAATCTTTCTGAAGGAACTTTCCCAGTGTCTAGTCATGGAAGAGGTGAAATAGAAACCCCCATACTGCCTACTAGAGAGAAATTGGGTAACAGAATTGGAAGAGACTTACATGAAAGCTGACTTTTCCATATTACCTTATTCTAAGCTCTGAGGAAGTTGGCTTTATTTGCCCAAATGCTGATTAAGTTATTTTACATTGGATTATTGAGGTCTCTTGCTTTTTTGTCTTCTTTCTCTTACTTCCTGATATTTGCGCATTTCATTACTCCTTAACATTAACACCAAAGAATGAGGATTATAACAGAGAAGAAACTTACAGCCAGAGGAGAGTTACAGCCAGAGAAAGTAACCGGATGGTTACTTTCAACTTGACGTCCCTCATTTATAAAATGGGAATGATAATGTGTCCTACTTCATAGGATTGTTCTGAGGGTTAAAGGGGATAATATGTGTAAAGTGCTCAACATAGTGCCTGTCACGTGGTAAGATCAACAGATTTGAATTGCAAACCCTTTTAAGTGAATTTGTTTTGTTGATTGAGGGGAAGAGGGAGTCTAATTATTGGCCAAAACAAGGCTAGCAGTCACTTTTGAATTAGCTGGTCAGAAATATGGTTAACAATACACCCATGAACCAACTCAAAATAATCATGCATCCTGAAGTAATCGGTAATCATGTGAACTTTCTGGCCTAAATGCATGAATATTTTAGTGAATTCAATTCAGTCTCCCCCATTGCAGCAGCCTTGTGTGATAAAAGCCTGCAGATGAGGAATTCTATTGTGTTGGCCTCATTGTATCATATCAGGTGGGATGAGATTGCAGCTAATAGAAAATGGGACTAAAATTTTTTCTGTAATGAAAACATATTATTATTATTTTAGCGTATTATTTTTATTTTAGCGTATTTGTAATGAAAACATTTATAAATGCGTGTAATAAGACGTCTGAGGATTGATCACTGTAGTAGAACAATAGGGCTCAGAGACTATTCTTACCATTCTGCTGTCCTCATCACACGGACTTTCATCCAGAGGCTGGTGTCCTCCTGCTTGCAGGATGGCTACCACACTGGGTGTCAGGCCCTCCTGTTACTGCTTCAAGAAGGAAGAGTTTCTCCATATAGGTCTCTTTGCATCAGAGAGGAGATTCTTTCCTGGAAGCCTCCCAGGTGACTTCCTTGGGTTTACTTGATTTCCCCAGATTGCAGAGCCTGACATCAAAGTTTTAGATCCTAAAAGGTGGAGTAAGAGAAGCAATGAAGAGCCTAAATTGAGATAACAAGGATTAATAGGAGAATAATAATGGTGGATTTTGTCTAAGGGTGACCCTGATCTTCTAGTGTGGTATGTAAGGCTGTGTGTGTGTGTGTGTGTGTGTGTGTGTGTGTGTGTGTACACTCATGGTTGTGTGTGAATCCATTCATCCATTTTATTCATTCATACATAAAGTCAATATATACTGAGCGTCTACTATGCCAAGTGCTGGAGATCCAAAGACAAATGTGACATGGCTCTTGCTGTAAGGACAACATGGCCCACTGGCCCTCCCTTGTCCCTCCCTCCCTCTTCCATCTAGTTCAGATCCTGCCTCATTCCCTCACCCACTTTGCTGGCAACACAGTGTTCTCAAGCCTCTTGCCTTTCAGCAGCCGTGGAGACCTGCTGATCTTGGCTCAATTCAACTCTCCGCTTTCTGCACTCTTGCTGACCCGGGTTGCAGATTGCTGCTGAATAAAATAGTGCGAACCTGGGAATTGGTGTCTCTGCAGATGTGTTGTTTTGGTCTCAATTGAGCCCTTATTGCAGCCTGGCTGTCTGTTGTTTACTCAGCTCAAACCCCTCTGCCTCCATTCCCCTGCGTGACTATTTTAAACCCTTGCTTGTCTCCCCTAGACTCTCCCTTCCACTTCCTTCCTCTCTGGCTCGCTTTCCATTTTGAAGAGAAAACATAAACCATGAACTGTATACTTCCTGAGCTTCTTACTGGTCCCCTCTGGGAAACTCATCTGCTCTTTCATTGTGCCCTGTGCCGTTAATAGTCAATGAAAAGCAACATGAGACCACCTCAATACTTAATCTCGTGCTGTCTATGGAGAGCTGTCCCTTAGTGAGGGACTGTGGGAGAAAGTTCCCTCAGGTCTCAGGACCAGGAATAGCTGTGATTCTTTTGAGCAACTTCATTTTATATATATTATATATATATAAATTCATATATTATATGAAATATGTGTCTATTTCACTTATATCCATACCTACATCTAATCTAATCTAATTTATATCATTTCATTTATATCTGCTTATGGATGTTTAAATCCTCACCAGAATTTTGCTTTGGGTAAAAGGAACCTCAGAGTTGAATCTGTGCTTTACTATAGCATAAGAACAGGTGTCAACTGTGTATACAGCAAGACACACCAGGAAGGTGCTTGACTGCCTGGCTCATGGGAGACCAGGAACGTTGTCGTGGCAAAAAGAGCCCTGGCCTGGGGGTCTTGCACCTACAGTCTACTCCCAACTCTGGCCCTGGCTGGCTGTGTGTTCTGGAGCAATAAGCAGCTACTTTCTTGGCTAGTCATACAATATCGTGCATCTTCAAACCTTCTACCGTTCCCTCTCATTCACTGCAAAATCAGTAGCTGTTTTTTATGAAAGTTCTTATAAATAATAGATAATGTTGGAGCTCGTGTCATGTGAATACCAGAAACCTCCGCCCCTTAAAAAAAAAAAACACCTAAGTCTGAACTCGTGGTACAGAAGCTGTCCTTTGAAGAAGATACCCTTTCAGGGTAATTAGAAGTAAAAAAGCTATACTCAATGTTCTACCTTTCCTGTTGGAAACAAAAGGCTTGCCTTTGCTATGTGTTGTGTGTAGCCTCTAGCAGTGGGGGAGGGAGGGGCCCCCAGGTACCAGTGTTGGTGCGTCCAACCTTAAGAAAAGGAGCGTTTCCAAGGTATGTGAAATATCCACCCCAGAATATCTCAGTATAGTAAGTGACACCTCAACAGCTAATTACAAAGAAATAGTCATATGGAATTTAAAGCTTCTCAGTGAAGGAGTCACGGTGTAACAAGATGACCAAATCTCTTTCAGGGCTGATACATTAGAAGTTAGCTTGTATTTTTTTTAGCAGGTGAAATAGGATATTGTAATATTTTTTAAAGGGCAGACAGTAGTACTTCAGGCGATTTTCAATGTCTCCTTGTGGCTCTTTTCCTTAGTAAAGCACCCTAATGCCAGAGTTGTGCCCGGAGCAACGTGTTAGTCAAACCATTTGTTTATCAGTTTGTTCCCAACCTTTTTGACACCAGGGACTGGTTTTCTGGAAGACGTTTTTTCTTCCACGGACTGGACCGGTTGGGTGTTGGGGGATGGAGAGCGTCGCTTCCTCAGCTCCACCTCAGAAAACCAGGTGTTGCAGTCTCATGGGGAGCCGGCCACCTGGATCCCGCGCATGCGCATGCGCAGTTTGCAGTGGGGTTCGAGCTCCCTCGCATGCGCATGCGCAGTTTGCAGTGGGGTTCGAGCTCCTGTGAGCGTCTGATGCCTCCGCTGATCTGAGGGGGGCGGCCCGGGCGGTGATGCGACCGACGGGCGCGGCTGTGGGCGCAGGTGGGCTTCGCTCACTTCCCGCTGTGCGGCCTGGTTCCTGGCTGCTGGGGACCAGTGCCAACCCATGGCCTGGGGCTTGGGGACCACAGATTGAGCGTGTCTGGCTGGTGACATGTTTTTAGTAATTTATAGCCTTGCTCATTTTGCTGACAAAATATTATTTCCCCCGTGCTGAATTGCTGCCCTTATTCACGTTGCCTGAATACAAATTAAATGACCTTTAATTTCTATGGAGGACTATTTTACTTTGTAGATGCTTTGTGTTTTGATACCAGTTTGCAAAAAGTGCTCTATGTGACATGTGTTTTGAATTTTGTCTCCTTCAGCCTCCCAAGAAAAGGATGCATGTAGCTCCTTTTCTCCCAGTGCTTAGACGCTCCCAGGAGGAAAACTTTTGAGGTAGCTCCCCTAAGAGTGGTATTTAACTCAAGAAATATCTCAAGAAAATGATTATGTTGCAAGATCCCAGGAGGCTAATTACTTCAGCAGAAAGTTCCCTGGGCTTGAGTTCCTTTAGAGTTATAGATTGTAGTGTCTGTGATTTGTCATCTGTCCACAATCTATTTCCTCTACCTTCCATTTCCACAAAAACTCCTGATTTGGTTCTGACATCCACCCACCCCTTCCTCATGCAACCCATGTGGGGGAGCCGAGGCTGACAGCTGCCCTTCTCTGTGCATAGGTCCTGAGTCATGTGAGCCAATCGTGGGTTCCATCTTGCCTGCCAGTGATTTTGGTTCATGGGTGGCCCAACCGGGCCCAGTGAGACTGAAGGGGCTGTCTTTTATTCCACCACAGAGGGAGACTCTCGTTCTTTCTCAAGGGACAAGAAAGAGAAAGCACCTTGCTCCAGCTGCTGCTGCAGCTGTTTGTAATCACACCAGAACAAAGCTGACATGATAAACAGGGAGGAACAGAGGGAATCTCAGAGGAAAAGAGACAAAGCTCTGCTCTTGCCTTGACTACCTTTGGGATTTTGCTATGTGAGACAGTAAATTTTCTAATTGTTTAAACCTATTCAAGTCAGGCTTTCTCTTGCTTCAACAACATAATTAGCATGTGTCCGCTAGGTGCCAGGTGCCGTCCTACGTACTGGATATGCAGCAGTGAACCATGTGGTCAAAGTGTTTGCCCGCGTGAATCTTACTTTCTGATAGCAAAGAAAACAACACAGAGATAAAGGCATAATACGATGTCGGGTAATGAAGAGGGGTGAAGAGGTAGGGAGTGTGGTGGGGGCTCAGATGTGTGAGGGCATGCTATTTGAGACAGTGTGGTCAGGGAAGTGAGTCAAGTGAGAGAGTGAGCCATTGAAACACCTGATGACAGAACTTTCTGAGCAAGGAAAACTAGGTTAGAGGTCCCAATGCAGGAATGTGCCTGCTGGTTTTAGGAAAAACCAGGAGGCCGGAACAGCTGAGTGCGATGGAGATCACTGGTAAGAGGGAGGCAGAGGTGGGAATACATGGTCCTTAGAGAGCAGGGTAGGAACCAGGAATTGTCTGTTTGTGTGATGGGAGAATATTGCAAATTGGAGTTCTCTGCAGCCCGAAGCATCCTAATGAGTACAGAAATACAGTAACCTGGACCAGAAGATAAAATCTGGGAAGATCAGGGCACTCTCTGATAGCAGAGTCTGCTTTGAGCCTTTGCGTGGTCATTATGCCAGTTTAGTCTTCTAGGGATTCATGGGACCAATGAACTATTGCTGAGTTTGTATAGTTTTGAATAATTAAAATTCAGCATAACTATACACATATATGTAGACACATACACACATATGTATGTACATAAGTACAATATTGGGAAAGTACCTGTTTTTCCTATTGTGGTAGGAATTTAAAGATTTTAAGTCAGAAATAACTGTTGCATTTATTTTTATCATATGTTTTTGCAGCCTCTGTTGAGATGACATCGTGTATTTTTCCTCTTTTGATCTATTAATATGGAGAATTACATGAACATATTTTCTGTTACTGAATCATCCTTGCATTTCTGGAATAAGCCCAACTTGATCGTGCTATATTATTTGTATAATATTTTGCTGAATTCAATTTGCTAATATTTTATTTAGCATTTTTACATCAGTACTCATAAGAGAAATAAGATTACAGCTTTCTTTTCTGTGCCCTCTTATTCTAGTTTTAGCATTAATGTCTTTGTATTATAAAAAGAAATGGGGATGTTTTCTTCTCTGGGATTTTTTAAATAGTGTCATAATTTTCTTTCCTTGAAGGTTTGAAATAATTAAATTTTTATGGTTAACCCAATCTACTCACCTTAAAAAAAATCAATTATCATTTTCTATATGACTTTCTAGTTTTTTTCCATAATCTTGTATAATTGCTAAACAGATGTAGTTATGCCATTATGTATAATTTTGCATTCTGATTTTCTCCCTTAACCTTATGTTAAATGCTTTTCCACATGCTATAGTCTTTATAATAATTATAATTGATAAGTACTAGTCCATTGTGTGGATGGACCATAATTTAATAATTTCCTATCCTTACATGGTTAGGATGTTTCCTGTTGCTATTTTTGTAAAATAATGCTACAATAAATATATTTTACATAAGTTGTATTTTCATTTTGGATTTTTTTCCTTTAGCATAAATTGCCAGGAGTAGAAGAATAGGAAACTTTCTATGAGTTTTGGTTGTTGTTGTTTTTTTTTCATATTTGCTTTTTTAAAAATTTCATGATATTATTGGGGTACATTTTGGTTACAAGTAATGACTTTGCTTCACCCAAGCCAGGGCTAGAGGCATGCCCTTCCCCCTAGGTTTCTGTGAGTTTTGAGACATATGGGTAAATTATTTTCCAAAAGATTTGAACCAATTTACAAGGCCTCTGGAATTTGGGTACAATATTTACATAACATCCTTGTCAGTATTGGGTGATACTTATATATTTTTTCCTATTATTGGGTATCCAAATGGTACCATAAACATTTAGTCTCCAGTCTCAAAGGTGGGGGAATAAGGATAGAACTTCCCTTTCAGTGCTGACTGTCTCACTGAGAGTGCATAGTTGATGTAGTCGCTGTCATTTCTCAGGTGTAATAGGAATTAGTCCTGAACTCTGAATGGGGCACAGGCCCCAACTTTTGGTTGCATTGTACTCACAGAAGCCAAATCCCAGAACTCAGACTTTCTCACCTTTTTATGCTTTGCTTTTTATTTTTATTTTTTTTTTGGTTGCATTTTATATCTTTGCCTCTCCCTAGCAAGGGTTAGAGGTATTCCCCTCCCCTCCACAATGCTCACTGCATCCCTCAGATGTGGGTCTAGCTCCCCCCAGCCCCCAAATCCCTGGTGAACACCACCACCATTTGAGTACCATAGTGTTAATCAGTCAGTACCAATTTGATGGCAAGTACGTGTGGAGCCCATTCTTCCCATCTTGTGTCATCTCACTTTGGATAATGGGCTCAAGCTCAATCCAGGATAATATAAGAGGTGCTAGTTCACTGTCGTTTCTTAAAATTGAGTAATATTCCATTGTAAACATATACCAAATTTTAATAATCCACTCATGAATTGACGGGCACTTGGGCTGTTTTATTTGTTTTGCTTTTTAATTAATGTTGATTGACCTCTTACAATAGGCTCAGCACAAAGCCTTAACCGCATGTGCTTACAGTTAGTTACCAAGCAAGACACAATGGCTGGGCAATGTGAGAGTCTACAGGCAGAGGGAGCAACAGCCTGCTCTGGCGGGTGGGGAAGGGGGCTCTCAAGGACAGACAGCCTCCATCTTTACTTCCTCTCTGACGCTCTAATTTCATGGTACAAACAGGAATCGCTATCTTCTGAGTAGGTTGGTAGCCAGCTTGGTGAGAAGAGAAAAATCTTGGCTCTTTGACACTGAACTCGTGGCTCTTGCCTAGTTAATCTGTAAAAAACAAAACACCACTTGCCACCTTAGCAGAGAAGACGTCTTATTTTTGTGAAATCAAAGCACTTTGTAACTATGATGGATGTCCAATGTCAATAAACTGTCCCCAGGGAGAGGTTCTGATTACAAAAGCCTCATATAGAATAATCATGCTCTCTTTTCCTCAAACTGGGATTCTCCCAGAGGGTGTGCCTGCAGGAGGGAGGCTGATCTCACTCCCGTGTCAGGGGCTCAGAGGAGGGTTAATTAGATTAATTCCTGTTTTCATGGTGAGGAAAGGAAGCAAATGGTAGAGTCTAGAAACCAGCTGTCTGCTCTGAAGTGAGTAAAGAGAAATAAAGGGAAGAGAGGAGAGGAAGATAATAATTCTTGTTGAGTGACATGCTAGAGACTGGTACTTTGCTAGAGACTGGTACTTTCCTGATTTTGAAGCATGTCAGACTTGCTGTTTTTCTGACTTGTCAATAAACTGTATGAGTATAAAACCATTGTTTAATAAACATATATTGAACATGTAGGAATTCTTAATTGTGTGTTTGATCCTGGGATACTGAATCAAGTAAGACTTTTTCCCTACCCTTAAACCTTTAAGTTAATTGTGCCTAATGTGGAAAAAAAAAATACATGTACTTAAAAATGATGGTTGTTAGGTCAAAGTGTTTTGGGAGCCCTGAACAGATAAACACTTGGGTCTAGATTAGCTAGGTACTAAGCTGTAGGGCTCCTTATTTGATTCTTGCCCCTTTTCTTTACTGCACATCTTTCCTGGGAGATTTGGCTCATCCCAAGTGCTTCTGACACCCCTGTGTGCAGATGAAACAGTTGTTTTCTCTTGCCCCGACTCTCTGCAGTGCAGACCTACCCATCTACCTAGTCTGGTAG